CCATTCCTGCTACCTTAGTCGGCATACATACTGTCATTGACTGCGCCACAGGCCGTCCCGAGGAGCCCATCAAAACCGTAACTTACTCTAACACACACTTCACTTCATTCATCATTCTTCATTACATTTCTTCATTTACACACACGCATACAGGTAGACTGGGAAGGAAAAGTGGCTCTCATACAATGTGCTAAGGCAATGGGAATTCAGAAATACATCTTCTATTCCATCCATAACTGTGACAAACATCCCGAGGTTCCCCTCATGGAGATCAAGTTTTGTACTGAGAAGTTCCTCAGAGATTCTGGCCTCAACCACGTCATAATCCGCTTATGCGGTTTCATGCAGGTCACTCACTACTCACTACTCACTACTCACTAATACTAATCTCTACCTAGCAGTAGAAAGTAGTAACTAACATTACATTGCTGCAGGGTCTTATTGGTCAGTATGCAGTTCCTATCCTGGAAGAAAAATCTGTTTGGGGAACTGATGCCCCCACCAGAATTGCTTACATGGATACTCAGGTACTACACACATACAATACAATACTAATCTCTTCGATTTCCTTTCTAATCGCCCTGCCTCCACCTTTAGGATATAGCTCGCTTGACTTTTATAGCCATACGAAATGACAATTTAAATGGCAAACTTCTTACATTTGCTGGTCCTCGTGCTTGGACAACCCAAGAGGTAAATTTACAGCATCGGCTCTTATTATCCCCAATCTTCATCTACCTCCCTCACCTGTGATTTTTAATTTTAGGTGATAACCTTGTGCGAGAGGCTTGCTGGCCAAGATGCTAATGTAACTACAGTTCCAGTCTCCATTTTGAGACTCACTCGTCAGTTGACTCGGTTTTTTGAGTGGACAAATGATGTTGCTGACAGACTCGCATTTTCAGAGGTATTTATTTCTTCACCTTCATCTTCTGCAACTTCTTTGCTCCGCTACCTATCTTTTCCCTTTTTAGATACGACACTCATCAACTATTTCATCCACTGTTGGTATATTTAACACAATTATTAAGAAATCAGCTTTTAAATTTTAATAAATCGCTTTTAACTCAGTGAGCCATGCCCATTAAGCATTTCCCACAAGGGCATTACTGATGACTGATGACTGATGACTATGCTTATGTTCTAGTTGCCTTGTTACTGACATTTCATAACCTTCCAATCTATATAAACATTGTCTTTTGAGTGACTGCCTGTATGATATATAATGAAAGGGGTGATTGATCAAAACAAATAAAGAATAAACCACCAATTTGGTCTTTCAAGTATTACTATTTATTGTCTATCAAAGTAGTCTCTAGACTATTAAAATTATGTATCTAACTAATTCTCAAGTATTGAATATCCATCACCGTTTTTCAATGTTTAGAGGACTACATATAAATAAACTAGTAGTTGCGGGTTTGGTATACTCGTGAGCTCGACGTAACATAAAAAAAATATGATTTGATTCGGGTACTTGGATTAAATTGAGTGGAAAGTAAATCCAGTCTAACCATCTTATTAAAACGAGGGATGTATTTTACAAAATAAGGTATAGAATCATAACTATTGATGAAAAAATAATGTTGTAGGTTCTTCCAGTTTCATAGTTAGCTACATTACAATTTAAGTTGTTGATTTTTTAATAAACCGTGATAACTTCATCGTCTGAAATGTGTTCTTCATTTCGGATAAGTCAAGTTCTAAGTGTTAAACTAATTTATTTTTAGTGGTTTAATTGTAAAAAAATATTGATGTTAGGTTAAATTACCTAGTAATTTCCTGAACTATTTGAGAATTTATAAAAATGTCCTTGAACTAAAAATAATAATAATTGGATTCTTGGTCATGAAATTTTTTTAAATTGGGTCCCTAGGATTTTGAAACTACTAGAAATTGTCTGTTTTTTTTTTTAATTACATTTTTTGATCCCTCAAGTATTGCAATTGTGCAATTTTGATTCTTAAGATTTTAATTGAGTAATTTTAGTCCCTTAAGGATTGTAATTGTGCGATTTTAGTCTTTTAATTTTTAATTGAACAATTTTAGCCTCTCAAATATCATAATTGTACGATTTTAGTCCCTCTCATTAAAAATTTAGTATTTTAATATATATATATAATATTTTAAAATTATAAAATTATTTATCTATTTAAGTTAACATAAATTATAATTTTTATTAATGTATCAAATGATATATATTTATTATTACTAAATAAATAAAAATTATATATTATTATTTTTATAATATTACTGATAAAATAATATCAATATTATTAGTATATTTATAAATAAACTAATAATTTGATAAATATAACTTATTATATATTAATATACTTTTATAAAAATATAAGTATATTAATTAGAAATATACATATCTTATCTAATATATTTAGATTTTTGTAAAAGTATATTAATATATACTAAGTTATATTTATCAAATTATTAGTTTATTTATAAATATACTAAAAATATTATTGATATTAATTTATTAGTAATATTAAAATACTAATAATATATAAATTTTATTTATTTAGTAATAGTAAATATATATCATTTGATACATTAAAAAAAATAATATACGTTAATTTAAATAAACAAACAATTATATAGTTTTAAAACATTATATGTATATGTATATTAAAATTTTAAAATTATTAAATTTTTAATAAAAAAGATTAAAATCACATAATTATGATATTTGAGGGATTAAAATTGTATAATTATAATATTTTAAGGATTAAAATTATTCAATTAAAATTCTGAGAATCAAAATTACACTTGAGGAATAAAAAATATAATTAAGCTTTTGTTTTTTTTTTTTCTTTTCCATTTCAAGGTGTAAAAGATCAACCTTAGGATCTTTTTTTTTTTTTTTTAATGGGACCTATTTGAAAATTCTTCGATAGTTTAGGTACCGACGTAATTTAACCATAAAATTTATTGATTTTCTTCTGCCATAACTTTACCAGTTGGCGCTTTACTTGTCCCATTGACCCATGCGGTCATTGCCTTTTTAATTTGAAAAAAAAAATTAAACTCCAAAATATGGGCATTTTATTTTATTTTGCTGTAATGGGCTTTTATTTTTAACTAGCTTTTCAAGGGTAAGTCTTTCTTTCAGTTACTTGGATTATGTTCTTAAATTTTTAAATATATTGTGTGATGTTATATACTATATAAATAAATATCAATAATAATTACAATATCGATAATAGAATTTGAATCTAAGCATAGTGCTTACTATCCCAACTCAATTGAAATAAAAATTAATTTATTTAATTTTACAGGACGATCACGGTTCAACCAGCTAACTATGAACTAAACTTTCACTAATTAAGAATACACTAAACACGATATGCATGTCCGTCAAACAAATAGAAGGTTATGGAGGACTCTACCTCGTATAAGTATATATTCCAATGATTGATTGCTTTTCTCTTTTACTTGCGTGACAATTTCTTCGAAATTCATTACATGAAAATGATAAAAACAATGGGAATTTGAAAAGCAATTTAGCTAATCTGATGTGAAAAGTGAAAAATTATAGTTTAGCATCACCCAAAATATAGTATTATTATATTGTGGCTGTCAATCGATTTTCCGCATTGAGTGTCTATAAAGCTTATCTATTTTCTCGTAGTAGTAGTAAAATGTACAATAATGGGCCAAATGCAGGTCCTTACCAGCGATACTGTATTTTCTGTTCCAATGGCGGAGACATACAATCTTCTTGGGGTCGATTCAAAAGACATTGTTTCCCTAGAGAAGTATTTGCAGGATTACTTCACTAACATATTAAAGAAATTGAAGGATCTCAAGGCCCAGTCAAAGCAAACCGATATTTACTTCTGAAAGATTATTTCTAATTGAAAACGAGTTAACTGATGTAGATATCTAGAAATCTCATTAAGATGCTTCGGCTATGTATATTTATTATATAAAAAAATTTGTACGATTGATGTGCCAAAAATTAAAACATATTATCTGTTTACATAAGTAAACTTGTGACGTACATTCTTATATGCATACATTTGTACATATTTTATCATTAAAATTTTGTATTTATTTTATTGAAAGAAAAAAAATGACAAATAAACACGCTATAAAGAATCTAAAGAAACATAAAATATAATCTTTATGCAAGTTTAAAATTTCAAATTGAAAAGAAAAATAATAAATAAATGTTCTAAACTATTCCGTAGAAAATAAATGTTTATCTTGTATCGCCTCTATTAACGAATTTGTCTTTCCCTCACACTAGTTATATTTTTTTATTTTTAAATTTCTACTATTTTTTGATAAGTGATATGTAAATTTTACAATAAATTTTAACTAAAATTAGTTTTTTTTAATCTTTTTCTAGTTTATTTCTTTTTATTCTTTAAACAACACCTTCACTAATTTAGATCACAACTAGTAAATACGATATACTCATCCATCAAGCAAATAGAAGAACATGGAGGACTCTAACCACCCGATTTAAATATATATTTAAACGTTTGATTTTTTCCCCCTTGTTTACGTACTCAAACTTTTGTTTATAATCGATTGCATAAAAATTATAAAGAGTGGGGAATTGGAAAAGCATTTCGGATGTTACGTGGTCAAAATTTATTCGCTTTTGTAAGATAAACGCGTAAAAATTAGAAAAATGGAAAATGCTGCATCCTCCAAAGATGATGTCGAAATTTCTTCCGAATTATTAAAAAATTAATTTAAATAATAAAATATTAAATTAAATAATTATTTTATAATAAATTTATTAAAAAATAATAATTTTTTAATAATTCGAACGATGAATCGGAATACGTTTCAGCTTCTGTTGCACTGTTCTAGAAAAATTGAGCATGAATGTTATATGATCCGAAATTTCGTCCAAATTTTTAAAAAATTATTATTTTTTAATACATTTATTGTAAAATAATTATTTTATAATAAATTTATTAAAAAAATAATAATATTTTAAAAATTCGGAGGATACAGCATTTTGCATGTTATATTAGAGTGTTGATAAGATATAAATTATGGAAGAGATTGTACGGGGCCGCCGGTCCCACTGAAATTGTATATCATGATCAGAAACAGTGAGATCTCCGACAATATTTAATTAGGCAAGCCGCCCTAGTTGAACAAGTCCCAATGTCCCATGTGCTTTATTATTAAAGTTGGCGTGGATAATTATTAACATGAATATGATCCAAAGGAAACCTAAATTTAGGTATAAATAGATGCAGATGCAGATGCAGTGGTAAGTGAATTAATCGAAATGGAAATGAGGATAGTGTTATGCGTACTGACCTTGTCTGTGGTGGGAAGCTGGGCAGAGCAATGTGGAAGGCAAGCAGGGGGTGCTCTGTGCCCCGGTGGTCTCTGCTGCAGCCAATTCGGGTGGTGTGGCTCCACCCCTGACTACTGCGGGAAAGATTGCCAAAGTCAATGCGGTGGTACTCCTTCTCCCGGTGGTGGTGACCTTCCTAGCATCATCTCCAGGAACACCTTCGACCAGATGCTCAAACATCGCAATGACGGAAACTGCCAAGGGCATGGCTTCTACTCCTACGACGCATTCATCGCCGCCGCCAAGGCGTTCCCAGCCTTTGGAACCACCGGAGACACGGCCACACGCAAGAGAGAAATCGCCGCTTTCTTTGGCCAAACATCGCACGAAACAACCGGAGGGTGGGCCACCGCACCTGACGGACCCTACGCATGGGGATACTGCTTCCTTCGGGAACAAAACCCTAGCGCATACTGCTCCCCCTCCGCACAATACCCTTGCGCTCCAGGGAAGCAATACTACGGTAGAGGACCCATCCAAATCTCATGGAACTACAACTACGGACAGTGCGGAAATGCAATCGGCGTCGACTTGCTCAACAACCCTGACCTAGTCGCCACTGACGCCGTCATCTCCTTCAAGACTGCCATCTGGTTCTGGATGACGCCGCAGTCGCCCAAGCCTTCCTCCCACGACGTCATCACCGGTCGGTGGACTCCCTCCGCCGCCGATCAGTCCGCCGGCCGCCTCCCCGGCTACGGCACTGTGACGAACATCATCAACGGCGGCCTCGAGTGCGGCAGAGGCCAGGATGGCAGGGTGCAGGATCGCATCGGCTTTTACAAGAGATACTGTGACTTGCTCGGAGTTGGTTACGGCAATAACCTGGATTGCTTCTCGCAGAGGCCATTTGGCAATTCCCTTCTCCTCGACGCTGCCATCTAATCTAAACACACTCCACTCTCTTCTCTCGTCTCTCCTATCATGAGACCAGACTACTACCTACAATAAAAATCAAATCCATCAATAAATATATTAACAATTTCTTCCTTCTATCTTTATAATTTCCAATTTTTAAATTAACGGATATGAATATGCCGAAAACAACATGCAATTGATCTTGTCGACGTATTAGTCAACTCCTTATCCATTCAACCGCATCTTATTTTCTTTTTCTTTTTAAAAGTAAACCATCATCCCCTATTCAATCCATTTTGTTACCCTCGTTACAAAGCTGAAGCTAGATGCATGGTACACTAAACTTAGGCATTTCTCCGTTAACTAGAACTGTTCATAGATCGATTTTTAAAAAAATCCAAACTAAACCGAACCAAATCGTTTTATAAAACTAGATTGGTTAACCAATTCATTTTTTATAAAGTATATCGGTTTGATTTTTTTTAAATATGGATCGATTTTTTTTAATTAGATCAGTTCGGTGCAAATCAGATCGATTATGGATCGGTTCGGATCAATTTACATTTTTTGCACACCCTTACCGTTAACTCACTAATTATAGAGGTGACTCAAGAATTAGATCGATGTATGTAGGGTACGGGTGAATGGGTGCTACGATATTTGAATATCACTATGAGATAATTAATTTTATCAACTTCAAACTGCAAAGTTAATATGATCTAGTTTTTGGAATGCATAACGCGACTACGCGAGTATATGACAGATAGATTTTCCACGTTGGTCGTAAGGATTGTCATAACATAAATGTTGAATACAACAAGCTTTTGATTACTCTCAGATCACTCCTGGACTCAACAACAATTTGAATATCAAGGGGAAAAAATAAACTATAACTATAAATATATGAATGCAACCGAAATACTTTTATTTAATATTAAAATGTTATATAATATATATTATTGCTTTATACTTTGTAAACATTAAACAATTTATATTAAGTATAGTTTGAAAAAGGTTAAATTATAAATTTAGTCTCATGTCTTAACACTTTTCTTTTGTTTTTATATGAAAAAATTTATTCTTTGATCCACACATGAAAAATCATTTGTACACTAGTCTCTATAAACCATTATAATTGGTTTAGTAGCATAAATACATAATACAACTTATGTTTAAATCACATTATTATCGTTGAATTAATTCTTATATAAAATATAAATCATTATTTTGTGTATGAGTATTTTTAGAGACTTTTTTTTATGAGAGAGTTTTAAAAAAATTCAAATTTTATTTATTATAATTATTATAAATTAAATTTCAATATTTTAAAATAAATTATTAATAAATAAAAATAATCTTGTATTTTAATATGAATTATTTATCATAAATTTAAAATATAATTTATATATTCAGATATAATATTTATTCATACATAATTTAATTTAAAAGTTAATTATATAAAATAAATATTTAACATGAAGCCTAAAATACTAGGAGATACAAATTAATGATTTTTGTATGGGTGTTATGTTTTAAAAACATGTAAAGTACATACGTAGACGTTATAAAGTAAGGGAGTGCATGTGTAATAGCTTTAATATCTCGGCAGTACATGTATAATTGTTTTAACAAATATAAACCTTCCAAATTCGTAATATTTTTCAAATGAAGAAGTGCATGTGAAATATAAGTTAAGCCTCATATGTGTTACTATAATTACCTCAAAAAACAATAGCATTAAATCTAATAATGTTGTTATATATATATATATATTGTATTATAATTTAATTAATAGCAAGATGATTTCATAAATGATTTTACGTAAAGATTAAAATAATGTTATTTTTTCCATATGAAAATTATAAATAACACGAGCATGGAATCAAATTTTTAATTTAACTGATTTAATAGAAAATATAACTATTTTCTTTTAGTATTTTACTAAAAAATTTCCAAAAAAAATGTAATCTTAGAACCAATTAGATATCGTAAATACTACGGCAACGTCAGAGAGACATTGAACATGCACTGCTTTATGTCACAATCACATCTAGAGAGAAGATTTATTGACATCATATAGAATTCTTGATAAACTTATACTTTTATGAATTTTACTAATGTAAATGATGAATTAAAAGTTTTAATATTTTATTAGACCAATTTATTTTAACATATAATATAATATCAATTTAATTAAAAACTTCTTACAGTATAAAAGCTTTTTAAGTTATTAAATTTTATGATTTCAAAAACTTTTATAATAATTAAATTAAAAGTTATATATTTGAAATGATTTTTAATTAATTGATACTATAAATTTATATTTAATGTATGAAAATTAAATTTAGTATTTACTATGATGAAAGACAGGGAAAAAAATAAAAATAGACACTAATAATTTTTTAAAATATCAAAATAAAATATATAAACTTAGGATCTGAAGAAATGAGGAGAGTTTATTTTATGGAGTGTGACCACGTAGTGAGTTTATTCAATCCGATATCTGTTTCTGTTTCCCACGTCACGTCTATGTACTATAATTCTAACACTTTTGCTTGCTTGTCCACGACGGAATAAATAAATCGAGATTGAAATTACGTAAAGACATTGACTTTTGAATTTTGACCGTTGCCACTTGCCAGCTAGAACATATTTGAAATAAAGTTCTATAAAGAATTGGGTAATAATCAAAATATCAATCCATTTGTTTTTCATATCACATGCTACAGTATAGTTTATTGAATCTGCATCCTATTTTTTCTCCATCTCTTTCTTTCTATTATTAAATTATTATATTTCTTTTTCTTTCTCTCTATATATATAATGAGCTTTAACAATTTGTTTGAAACAAAGAAAGAGGGAAGGACAGAACAGCCAAGAATGGAAAACACCAAAGTATCTGAGTATTGAGTAACAACGGTGGATTGAGATGGATACAAGAGAGTAAAAAAATAAAACAGAACACAAAGTGACATATAATATATATATATATATATATAAAGTGAAGTAATAAAAAAAATGAAAGGGAGATGATAATAAGATGGGAAAATATAACCAAAAAATTAAGATGAGAAAATTGCTAACATCTTACAAAATAAACAAAACAAAGAGTTAACTTTTTGGTTAAGTAATAATCTTTACTATTATTAATAAGAGTTAATCATTCATACACTGTCATTGTAAAGTTTTTTACACTAGCAACTAATCATATCTTTTAAATTATTTTATTTTATTTTTAGTTCATTAAATAAACAAATGACATGATATTATTAAAAAATATGATTGATTATCAGTATAAATTTTTTTTTTACACTGACAGTATATAGGTGATTAACTCTATTAATATCTCCTCCCTTGGCATGGAAAGTTCTCGCTGCAATCAAACAACACACCCATATTGGAAGCACATGGGCTTTTTATGTTTTGGTCCATCACATTCCTAATTTGGACTTTACGTTTTCTTACAAGCAAAAAAAAAAAACTAAATTCATAATCAATAATTAAATTAATAAAACTTTGTAATAGTGCAGTTTCCCACTAATAATTGGAGTTTATATATAGTACTGTTATGAATATGAAATTTATGTATGATCTTATATAAATAAATAAATAAATATTAATGTTGAAGTAGCTTGGCAAGGAGACTCAAAATTAGAGTTATTCACAATTCAAGTTGCGCACCATCTTAAATCCAATGTCTATTTTTCTCTTTTTGATACATCATAAATAAATGAACAGAAAAAGGACTAACTCCTATTATCATGTAATTCCGATGCCTAAATCAGGCATATCAACGTCTATAACAACTCAATTGCTACAACCAACAACACATTTTGTTCCTCATAGAACTTATACAAAAGCTTCCTTCCTTTTGGTTCAAAAGAGGGGAAAACAGAGAAGAAATGGGTATATTAATTCTTACGCGCAACTCAATTGCTACAACTCATTGTGTGTCTGAATGTATCTATGTTTGTGTTTGTGCGTACGTGTGTGATCAAATTCACCTTCTATTAGTTTAGATCTCCTTTAACAGCCTTTTTTTCCTATTTGCTCAATAACTGCCCGATCTTAAGATCGTATAGAATTTTTATTGCTTGTTGTGAACATAACACATTTCAAAACATCTGCTAGGATAGGTATTTTCTACTACTGGAAACAACCCAGGTTTGTAGAGGTTGGATTATAAACCTGATTACCTGAAATTATACGTATACATAGATGGGAAATTACTAAAATAGGAAATAAAAGGGGCATAAAAATAAGATGATGTACTACAGGCGAGAGAATAAGAAATAAGGCCCAAGTTTCATATTAGGAAATTAAAATAGTTACTATTATAGTAAAAACATGCTCATCTGCTACATGAGTAAAGATTCTTCCTATTTCTTCTATTAGCTCTTACTACGTGTATCATCTTCATTTTATTTATTTTTCTCAAATTTAGGAAATAGAAGAAACGAAAGGTGAAGGAAATAGGATATCGAAAGCATCTTGAATTGTAAAGTTTATTAAATAATTGTTATCGCCACGTTGTAGAAGAAGGAAGCTCCCGGCTGTTCGATGAGTAGTAATAAACCTATCACGATGACACGCAGCACCAGCACCAGCACCAGCACCATCCAACAGATGCTGAATCGTCACCCTTTGCCTATCTAATAGGCTTACCATGTACACCGGACACACTTCTATCTGTGTCCCAACCCAAATAAAATCCATCCTCTCTTTTATGTGGATCAACATCTTCATTAAAAATCATTTTCTTAATGGTATACCTCTCGATTCACCATCCGTCACAATGCCCATGACGTTATGATAAATGCATTGCGCTCCACTCTTCAACATTCAGCTTCAGGAGTTTAACAAGAATTACTTCCACATAAAATAAGCCATGCCACCGTCAAGTTGGCAACTATATTGGCTGTCAAGTTGTTAGATACAAAACCATTCACCAATTAGCCTTTTAAAATAGTTAGTTGATTTCATCTCGGAGCATAATCGGTTCATGACACATCGCTTCAGTTCTATGGAGTTCCAACATCCTCCAAGGCAATCAAGAAAGAAAGGAGTGAATCCTCCTGGCCATCATTCACTCTCAAAACTAGCTTTCATGTATTTAGTCTTTGCCTTACATCTTGCGTTCAATCTGAGATGCGTGTGTCAAAATTTACAAGTTGAAGTTGAACGTGTGAATGCAGGCCAGGTTGTGTAACGAGAATAAAGTCGCACGAACAACCAACATTTTACATGATCTATACTATTTTGAAAAACTTACATCACGAGACACCTGGAATTGCAAGGATAACTCGACTTCAGCTTCTGCTCCTCTTGCTTGTGATGTATAGAAATAGAATCGATATTTTCTGTTGCTTTAGCATAAAAATATTAGCCAAGTGTAATTGAATTCAATTTCCTTTTTCACAAAGCTTAGCTAAAAGCTCTGACCGAGCCTTATCGAGGGCACTTGCCAAATTTTCAGGATTCCTCCCACCAGCCTGAGCAAAATTGGGCCTCCCACCTCCTCCACCACCACATAATTTGGCTATTTTTCCAATAAACTTACCTGCCTGAATTCCTTGATCAACCACCCCTGCAGTAAAAGCAGCTACTAGACTAACCTTTCCTTCACCTGGACATGATCCCAGTACCACAGCTGCTGGATCTGTTAGTGTTTCCAGTAAATATTCTGCGGCACTTTTAAGTGACTCAGCATCAACATCATCCAAGCACTCAACTAGTACCCTGGAAATTTTCAACAATCAATAAATGAAAATGATGCATCTACTTAACAATTAATAATTTTTTAAAGAGAACTTTTCCCAAGTCCTACTAAGTTTAACAAGATATGCAAATGGAAATATATATACAACGGACATCCTTTCCATTTTTAAGTTCTAATCATTTCTGTAGCATTCACAGAAAATATATTCAAGAGGCTACCAATGATGCGATGCAACACCTCTCCTTCTCAGTTGTCAGATTTCTTTGGTTATGACAATAAAAACTTCAAAGAGAGAAAAAGTTGATAGACTTCTATATCAGAGTAACATCTTCAGGTAGCACATTATTAACACTAAATTATTCGGTCCAAAATCTTTTACAAGCTTCTAAAAGGGAAGAAAGCCCTTTCGCCCATATTATAGCAACATATACTACCATAGAGAGAAATATTACCTGAACTGTTTTGAATTCCCCACCAACAATGCTTTGTTTGCAATGACTGAAGCTTTATAGATTGCTGCTTTTGCACGCACAGCAGAATTTTCATTTCTAGCTTCCCTCAACTCCTCTAGAAGGTTTTCTATCCTTGTTGTCAGTTCTTCTGGTTTAACCTTCATAAGGTGATATTATTATATTAATTACACATTAAGACATGCAAAATCAATAATGCGCATACAACATACTGAATTAAAATTTAGAAGTGCTTGAAAGAAAGAAAGAATTGGTGGCATATGCAGATTAAAGATTATACACGTAAAGGACATACTCTGTATTTGAGAAAATTATGCAACAAGGAACCAAAATGTATGAATGAGTACCCAAAAGAACGTCAGAAAGTTCCATTCACTGATATGTTTAATCCATTGTAGAACAAAATAGACGGAAATATGTATAAGGCACAAAGAAAATGAAAATCCCAAAGTTAAGTATTTGAATGGCATGATGATAACCCTTCCAGACTATGATCAATGCATCTTGTACAAAATATGATGGTTTGTCTCTCATTTTTGTTGCATTATAACACCCGCCCCCGCCGAAAAAAAAACAGAATAAAAGGGTAAGGAAAACAAGGATGCCTCGGTGCACAAACTTGTACCATTAATAATTGATCACAATAATTGCATGACACACGGATATTGACAGCACAACATGATATTAAAATTACGGCCCATGTAGATCAACAGGCAGGACTGTGAAAACTCAAATGTCAAGATCATGGAATATACTTTGAGAGTTGAACATAGCTGCTTCAGATAAAAGTCTCGGGCACTGATATATTCAATGAAAGCATCCCCAGCTACAGCTTCAATGCGCCTGATTCCAGATGCAATTCCCTGTTCTGAGATTATTTTAAAACCACGAATTTCAGAAGTGTTACTGACATGAGTCCCACCACAAAGTTCCATCGATACACCAGGAACCTCTACAACACGTACCTGCAGTACACCAAATTTGAAAACCAAATTAATCAGCATGAACATCAGATCAGCTTGGTAACTATCAACATAAAGATATTACACCTTCTTAATCTTTTCCCTGGTTACTGAGAAGTAGAAATATACACACCTAAGATCTGGAACATATAACTCTACTCACTCATGGAAGTGATGGTGAACCATTAGGCTTTAAACTTTATTTTTAGTTTCATTGTTTTATGCAACAGGATATTCTCTTAGTAAGATTTAAAAAACCTGGTATCTTACTACGCTGTACATGATTTACTACTGTGGTTCATGTGCAAGCACATGTTAGAGATACAGGGATAATTAATGGTGTATCAGAAATAACAATTGAAATAGGGTTTGTTTTAAGTTCGCCCAAACTTTTTTTTGGCACGAATAGCAATCTAACAAAGGTAAAAGAGAATTTCAGTCAGAAATAGCAATTTATGAGCATTAATTAGTTGTAAACCATCCACAAAGGTCACCTATTTTGAATACACACTTAATGATATATGTAACCAAATGAGCTTAGAACTACTAAAAAGGAAGTAAGCCAATTTAACTTTGAAGATCAATATTAAAAGTGTTTTGTAGTAAATCCAACCTCTTCTCCATATTTTTCTCCAAACATTGCAATAGCCCCAGCACTTTTTGCATCAGCCAGAGGCATCACTTTGGTTCGAAGTAGTGTTGCATCTTCAATCCATCCGTTGATTAGCACTTCAATTTCAGCAAGCTCACTGTCACGAAGTGGTCGGTGAAAGTTGAAATCAAACCTGAGACGATCAAATGCCACCAATGAACCAGCTTGCGAGGTCTCCTGACCAATAACTTTTTTAAGTGCAGCTTGTAGTAAATGAGTAGCAGTATGATGAACCTACAGAGCACCAACTATACTTATTATAATCTTTAACAACTTGATGATGTAAAGACTCATCCATATTAAAAGATTCACCACACAAGTATATGAAATGAGTAAGTCAACAGTTATTGTACCTTAGCTCGCTGCCTCAGCTTCACGTCAACTGCTGCTTCCACTTCTTTGCCAACCTCCACAACACCCTTTTGGACTGTGCCCTTGTGAACAAATATGTTGCCTAAAGATTTCTGAACATCGAGTACCTCCACAACAGCTATTGGTTGATTCTCACCCTCTGAAATATATAGAAAACCATGATCGCCAATTTGACCCCCTGATTCAGCATAAAATGGAGTTTTGTTCAGTAAAACTTCCACATTACTCCCTTCACTGACCTGTACAGCTGGATTTCCATTTACTATTAGGCTTTCTATCATTGCTTTACAATGAAGGCTGTCATATCCGATAAATTCAGTGTCAGGTACATCCTCTGCAATATTATCCCCATTTGCAATGTCAAGTTTGACAGTATTGTGGGCAGCTTGCGATTGACGCCTTTGCCTCTCCATCTCAATATCAAAACCAACCATATCAATACTCACACCACGCTCTTCAGCCACTTCTTTTGTTATTTCCATTGGGTATCCATAAGTATCATATAAAAGAAACACATCTTCACCAGCCAAGCAAGGCACAGTTCCATTTCTTTCTGCACTTGATATAGCATCAGCAAGTTTCTCCTCCAGCAACTTTTCTCCCCTCTCCAGTGTCTGCACAAATCGAAGCTCTTCTCTCTTCAACTCCTCAAAGATGCGAGGTGCTTTGTTCTTCACATCAGCATCAATATGTGTACTTAACTCCACTACCTTCTCAGCAATAATTGGTAAAAATGCTCCTTCAAGGTCTCCCCTACCATCGCCCTTTATACCAAGCAACCTGCCTGTACGAACAACCCTTCTAATAAGCCGCCGAACTACATAGCCTCTCCCAACATTTGATGGGACAACTCCATCAGAGATGAGAAATACAATTGCACGCATGTGATCTCCTATAATCTAAGACAAATCAAAAATTAAAAAAACAAAGAAAACAAATTGACACATTCAAACTAATAAGACAGTTAAAATACACTAAGAGTACTGCAGCCTGTATAAAGATAGTCATATTTACTTTCAGATTCCTCTTCGTCTGATCATCAGCAATGCCATACGAAACATTTGCTAATTTAGAGGCCTTCTCTATGATGGGGAAAATCAAGTCAGTTTCATAATTGTTTGGAACCTGCAGAAAACATAGACAATATATATTACAAGATGGACATAGGAGCATATGCAAGATAGTTCTAGTGCCATAGAAATACTTCTTAAAACATAAATGGTAAATCAACGTCTACCTTTTGAAGAATGCGAGCCATACGCTCCAGTCCAAGGCCAGTATCTATGTTCTTCTGCTTTAGAGGTTCAAGAGAACCATCATCTTTTTTGTTGTATTGCATGAATACTAAGTTATAGAATTCTATAAACCTTGTATCATCGTTGAGATCCTGTTTACATCCCCCACGCCACAAAAGATTGTAAAAATGAAGTGATTTTAAATCCTTGAATCTCAAACTATGTGATACTTACGGCGTCTACATATCCCCTCTCAGGATGGAAATCATAATAAATTTCCGAGCAAGGACCACAGGGACCTGTTACTCCACTGGTCCAGAAGTTGTCCTCTTCTCCCAACCTCTTTATTCGCTGGACCGGGACCCCGACCTGCAGAGATAGTTAAAAGTTAAGGATGGAAGCAAATGAGGTTATGGTGGAGGAAGTCCAAACCATTGGTAGGTAGCTAACCTCCTGAGACCATAGCTGAAAAGCCTCATCATCATCTTCATAAACACTAACCCACAATCTGTCTGGTGGCAAACCAAACCTAAAAAGGTAAAGAAAGATGGGATAAATGATAACTATATTGTTGAGACTTGAGAGAAGGTGGGTTGGAAAAGTGTAGTGAGCACTGACTCAGCGGTGGAAAGCTCCCATGCCCATAGAATAGCTTGTCTTTTGAAGTAATCACCAAAGCTGAAGTTTCCAAGCATTTCAAAGAAGGTCTGATGTCTGGCAGTAAGGCCAACATTGTGGATGTCATTAGTACGGATGCACCTTTGAGCAGTAGCAGCACAAGGCACTTGTCTTGGAACCTAATATAAGAATGGTGTGGTGAGTTATGACTCGTGACAGTTATTCATGTATAAATAACATTAGATTACCTTGCCTAGGAAGATAGGCTTGAATTGAAGCATCCCTGCGATGGTGAGTAAAACAGTGGGATCATCTGGAACGAGAGAAGCACTGGGAAGAAGCTTGTGACCACGGGAAGCGTAAAAGTTCAGAAATCTCTGCCGTATGGAATTCCCACTCACACAATTAGGATTATCCTTCTCGGTGACTGGGGCTGCCACTTGCGCCTTTGCCTGTGAACACAATGAAGTGCGGAAACGAAAGGCGCGTCCACGGTGTGGTTTGAGTGAGACAAACCCTGCGCCCACACACAGAGAATGAGAAGCGATTAGAATTTAGAAAAGCAACGAACAAGAGAAGAGAGTTGTGGTTAGTACCATTGTTCCTGTTATTACAAGGTGTGAGAATGGCGGCAACGCCAACCTTTGGCTTTGGAAACGATTGTGCAACTGGAACCGCCAACCCTTCCATGCCGATGCAATTCCACAACGGATAACTCTCCTTCTATTCCACTTTGCTCCCCACCACACCACATGATACTAATAATTAATTATCCATTATTTTATTTTCAAAATTAAACTATTTATTTACAATTTACAATCTCAATTACTATTTTTAAATTATTTAATCATATGAAATATCATATAATAACGGTTGTAAAAGTACTATTTAAATTATTTAAGAAAAAAAAATTTAACAAATGATATTTTTTTTAACATGTAGAATTATGACGTCAAATCACATTGACCAATTAAACAATATTAATATAATATGTTAAATTTATTTAATTGATTACAACGGAATTAAAATAATTAATTTGAGAATATGAGTATAATATTATTATTATAAATATTATTTCAAAAAAAATATTATTATTAAGAAGTGAATTTGTAATGCAATAGTATGAAACTAAAATAACATCATTATAGAAGAAACGTCCTATAAGGATAAACATAAACACATGATTAATTAAGTTGTATATCATCGTAAAGTGTCAAAAAGGACCTTCTTGTTTATTGACATCAAAAAGATATACGTATATAAAAAAAAATTTCAGTGTCCCACTACAAGCAAACAAAATATAAGGGTACTTATATTAGAGCAATCAAATATTTACAATTATCCACCCTCCTTCCACTATTCTAAAATCAGCTAATTAGTCATGCAATCATTCTAAGAGGTTATCCTTAAGAATTGATTCTTTCTCCTCATCCTCGACATATGAATCATCATCTTTAGCATCATACTCTCCATCAACAAAGTATTCATTGGGTAGGTGATACCCCAAGTTTGGTACATGTGGAGGTGAACGATCAGATCCATTTTGCTTATAAAGTTAAACCACTTAAACTACTTGCTCATCATCAGAAGTGTCAAGAGATTATGAACCTAGGGATGGAGGTGGTGAGTCAACTCTAACATATCCAAGAGCAGGTGGTAGTGTTAGTATTAGCGGAATGATCAAGATGGCAAATTGCATCTTAACTTAAGGGTCTATAGACAAGAATCAAAAGGACACCAACCCTCTAAAGCTATCACCCTCAAAAAAGTTGTCATGGTCCAATAATCGTGGTTACAGAATTGTAGGAAAAGTCTCTCATCACAGGAATGTCTCCCATCAGTGTTAACTACTAATCATAAAGTCGTCTCACATACATGGAAGGAAAAGAAAAGAAAAAGTGAGGTGATTTAATTTCTAAGTCACCTTCAAAAATAAGTTCATAGGATATATATAAGTTATCAATTAAAATCAATCAATCAACTAGTATTCTATATGCAAGGATTCCTAGGATTAGTTATCATAAAACATTATAGATTTGTATGGATCCATATCTCATTTGATGATTATCACCAAGTATTTTATTTGTTTTGGGAAGTGATTGGAATCTCATATCTCCCTCATGATAGTCCCATTTTTATCATTATTATTTTTCTCAATAATTGAGCACAAAGCTTCTCCTAAGAGTATATGCTTAACCAATCTTGGTGATGCTAAGCAAGTGTAAAGGTTATCAAGTTGGTTTATGTAATTGTCCCAATTCTAAGGTAACAAGCCTAATCGTTAGGACTCTCACAACTTGATACTATACCCTTTAGACCTTTTTAGTGGTCCATGCCTTCATCTTGCAGTGTACCTAACTATGACTTCCCAAACTCCCCTGAACACATGTTTTCTATACATGGTTCACCATTAAATACTTTAGACTTCTAACCTAAGGTTTCATTAACTCATAAATATTTTTGAAATTTTTGACAAAATTTCCTTTGTAATATGGTACTTTCCACCCTTACTTATCCACGGTATGATCATTCAAACATCAAGATTCAAATCATAATAACATGCATCTCCATGATCATAATTTAATCAAGAATTAAAATATAATTTTAGTTTAAACTTCAACTTAATTGTCTCATAAAAATGATGAAAAGTTTATTATTCATAATCAATATAATTTAATATTTTAATATACATGTATAATAATAGTTATAATTATTTAGTATGTAAAATCTAGAATTGAAAATTCTAACAAAAAATATATTCGCCATATAATTATATATATATATATATATATAATCATATTTTTCTCTTCATATTTATAAGTAAAATAAAATATGCTACCCACCATAATTTACATATTCTTAGTTTACATTTTCAATTTAGTTTATAGCATTTTGGTAATTGAAAATTAAGATATATTTATCACAATATAGGACCAAGTATAAAAGAAATCAAAGCACAACACAATCATATTCAAACAAAACTTGAAAAAGGGATTGTAAGGGACAAATCTCAATCCTTTGAACTCTTTGTGAAGCAAAAATGAATTTAAACACCCCCACCTCTAAGGCAATAGCAATAGTGTGGGTTTTCTTTTGCTCTCCCGTGAGAAATGATAACTTAGTTCCTCAATGTATATTTAAACTAAAATAAGGTAGGTAATTTAACTGATTTGGAAAAAGTTACACCACATTTAACTGCTGTAAAACTTATATACCTTTCTTTTAGATTCTTTGCTTTTCATTTTTTTTAAATGCATTAGTTTTATTTGTATAACTTGTACGTGGAAACCTTATCTCAAATTATTATTATTATTAGTAAGATCGAGGCACTTTGTGTCTCTATTAAAGATAAAATGAAAATTAAGTAATAAATATATGTTGATATAATCTTATGATTAGTCATTAACTGTAAAGTCTTGATTTTGATAAAAAAAATAATTAATTTTTTTTTTAAAATAAAAAAGTACAATGATCAACAAAATATGAAGACCAAGATAATTACTAAAAGGAGTATCATTTTATATATTAATATTTATTATTATTATTATTATTATTATTATAACTTAATTGCACGTCACATTCATATATCAATATAATTAATCCATTTTTAATAAATAAGTTTAATTAAATTTTGAAATAAAATTTTAATTTACATAATTATTATTACTTATTTTTCTCATAGATTAAAGAGTATTATTTTTGGTATTCATCTTTAAAAAAAAATTTAAGGTTAAATAAATAATTTAATTATAAATAATTCATAAATTAATAACATTTATTTGTCCACGAGATTATTCTACACTTGAGAATATAATACATAATATTTTTAAAATTATGTTAATTGAGAATATATAATTAATCAAAAATAATTTTATCATATGATTTTCTTTAGGTCCGAAAAATAAAACAAATATTACCTAATATCTATTATTCTGATCACATTCATATTTCTTAGAATTTTTTAATTTCAGTCTAAAATTTCAAACTTAATCACAAAAAATAATAATAATAATAATAATAACAGAAAGACACAAATAAGAGGAAGGGTGTTACAAGAACAATAAGTATTAACAAACTCAAACTGGTAATCATTGAATCAGTGAACTATTAGTCAAATCAATAGATGATTAATGATTAAAAAAACAATAGATAATTTATTCGCATGATTTGATATATTAGAATTTTAATTTTATATTAGATATATTACGTGTTGTATGCATGCACTATATCATGTATGTCAGCATGAGCTGAGGGACAATCTTTGCCTCTTAAGCATTGCATTCATACAAATAGAAGCAACTTTATATTGCGCAATGTAAAATAATTTGGAAGTTGGAAACCATGCACGAAGGCACGCACGGATGCAATTTCAATTATACTTTATTTGAACCAAAAAAGGAATAAAAAAATAATTAAGAATATTAATATAAAAAAATATTAAAATCTGTTGTTTGAACAAATGAAAAAGTAAATAGAAAGAAATAAATTATATAAAAAATACTTTATTCTAATTAAAAAAGATAAAAATATATTTTCACCTATATAGAACATATTCCAAACCGGCCAGTCCAATGAGCTCAATTGGGAACCAATTATATAACTAATTCGGTCAGCCTTCAAAACAAGTAATAAAGAATCACTACTGTTGTTGTTAAACTTCAATATCATCAATTTTGAATTGATTTTAAATGTTAAATATTATTGATGTGATGAATGAGTAATAGCATTTGTAAGAGAAATTTATTTTTTAATATTGTGAAATTAGGAGTATTATCTTTTTATTTAATATTGCTCAATATATTGTATTAAAATGAAAATAATATTATTTATTTATTATTGATTTCATCATGGTTCAACCACAATTAAATCACTAAACCTTAATCCACTACTTTTACCAATTCAATGATCAACCCGATTTGAAAATCTTAATTCAAACTAATATTAGAGATTAATATGGAAGGTGAAAGTGGAATTATACGCCTTCTCAAAGACAAACAAATAACTCAAATCTAAATGAGATACTAAAACCTCTGATACATGTTTCCTAACAATCTTTAATAACTAACAACGTTGCCACAGCCCACACAAGAACTCAGATTTCTTTAGCAGTAGGGTTTCTTCTCAAAGAATAAACATATGACTCAAATTCAAATCGGTATTAAAACCTGTAATGCATGTTCCCTAACACTCTTCAATAACTAATGATGTTGCCACAGTCCACACATGAACTCAGATTTCTTTAGCATTAGAGTTTAGCAAAGATGGTTGAGAATTAGAGTGCCAAGTGCTGGAACAATGTTAGCTGTGTCAAATAAAAAACGCGGACATTCAACTAGTAATAATAAAACAGTAAAATGAAACACAGTAATTTTACTTCTCCCACTATCATTCCACCATGACGAGTTGAATGCAGAGAGAAGCATTTGGGTCTCTATGGATGAAAGGATTGACGAGTGCTATCTGGAAAGAATCTGTTCATTTCTTAGACCAATTACAGTAGGATCAGAACACAACCCACTTAAGTATTTAACGAGTGGAGCAGGCTCAAAGGGGGTGACATGAAAGAAAGCTATACAGATGTTGAGAAATATTTTATGATGGTCAAGGTATCGTGCCTATTCAAATGACTGAAATTAAGGCAATTTTTTTTTCCCTTCAACAATGTCTTTGGTAAGAATATACAATACTAGAAACTGACAAAGTCAACGCATTATTCTGCATGAAGTATATAGCTAATGCACAAGAAAATGTGTACAGAATTCTATGTAGCCTTATTTGGTACATAATCATAGAAGCTCATAGTGGTGATGCTTCAGCGGGTCCTCAAGAAGGATATGCTAAGGTTCAGAGCCCAAGTGGAGATGAAGATCGTAATGCATAAAAGAGTCAGTTAAAGTCCATTTACTTCTATTATCAATTTTTGTTTTCACTTTTAATCACAAAATTACCATCTTGTTTTCAATTTATTTCCTGAATTCTCAAAGTAAACGGACCCATAGCTAATGGCAAGGATAGATTTGGGAGGTGAGGAGGTGAGTAGAGATGGATCGGGAGATTACGAGGGTCAACAGAGGAAGTGAGGCAAACCCTTCTCTATGGACCCCCTACCCTCCACTGGCTTAGTCACCATCCTGATTTGCAAGTATATTTGCATGGCACATTTCGTATGATTTTTCCTATTAACAAATCAGACATGAGTCTATGCCACTGCCAGACATCTCCGTGACATTTACGTCCACAATTGAACGGCAGGGATCCAATTCTAACAATTAAAAATTTATGAGGAGAAAATTCACTCATCTAAACTATAGGACGACATGGAACAAAGTAGGAACTAAAAGTGTAGGGCGTTAATCAAACGCATACTTTATTATATTAAGGGAGATATGCCATGATTTGATCAAATTAAATACAATGTACTTCAGAAGCCCTTTTATCCCGAGAAGAGCAGTACGAGAGTGAAACTTGATGGCTACAATGTCTGTGCATGTACAGAAAGCGAAACCGATACCCTGCTACAGAGGGATCATAAGAAGAAAGGAAATGAAGCCTGTGAGAACATGAGGTATGTTTAAGAGAGCCACATGAAAAAAAGGTAAACACCTAATCACAAATTTCAGGGGTATATGCAAATGGGCAGGCATTATAGCATTTACCAACTACAAATGGCTCCGCCACATCACAAATAGAAGCTGTTGCATTCGGTTACAGTTCGGCTGCAGTTTGATCATTCACTCAGCAATCTGTCCATATGGCAACAGTATAAGCAACTTGATTATGTGCATGAAAGCAAAAGGGCATGGAATGCTAAGAAAAGATTGCTAACTTGATTAAGAGGATTGTCTGGAGATTTCTTCCATAGCTTCCATATCATGTCCTTGTACTGATTGTGGGTAAGGCCCGGTTTCTCTTCCTTCAACTTAGGGAGCTCAGCTTCTTCAAATGCCTGCAAGGGTTATGGTTATGGTTAGGGTTAGGGTTAGGGTCTGCGGATCCAATTGAAATTGAAATAAATAATAGATTGTGAAATGATAACCATACCTTGAAGGAGGCCTTGAGACGCCTTTCGGGATGGCGATCGGGGGGCAAGTTATCGACGATGGTCATCTGAGCGATGGCATCATCCAAAGTTCTTGCTTCGATGATGGAATCGTCGCGATTAGTGTTGGAAACAAGCACCATTCTCTCGTACTCCTCCTCTGCGGCGGTGCGACTCTGGCGCTTCTTAGCCTCCTCCGCCTTCCTCTGAGCCTCCGCCTGCTCCTCCTCCCGGCGGCGCTGGAGCTCGGCTTCCGTGACCTTGGGAACCGGGATGGAGACACGGTTGGCCTTCTTGTCGACCTTCTTCATGGACTTGTCGAGCTCCTTCTCCTCCAGCTCAGCCAAGCGGCGCGCCTCCGCCTTGCGCGCCGCTGCCTCGGCCCTCTTTTCGGCCTCTTCCTCCTTCTTCTTGGCGGCGCGTGACTTTGAACCCTCGGCCTCTCGCCAGTACTGTTCCTCCTTCTCTCGAGTCTCCTTCTCCTTGCGCTCCGTCTCCGCCGCGCCCTTCCCAGCCCTCGCCCCCCCCCCCTTC